GAGCGAGAGCTCCGTCGAGACGTTGGTCGAGAGACGAAAGTTGGGCTTCTCCGGGTTCGAGTAGCCGTGAAAGTGGTCCAGATGCAGACCGTTCTTGACGACATCGACCACGTCGCTCTTGCTGTGGCCCGCCAAGACGTGCGCGAGCTTGAGCGTCTCGAGGTCGAGCAGCTCGCTGTACTTGGCGTAAAAGGCCGCGTACTCGGGACAGATGGCCGCCACGGACGCCGGCACGCCGTCCTGGACGCTCGTGCTGAGCGTCTCCTTGACCGTGTCGTCGACGAGCGTCTTCTGGAGCTTCTCGGGAAAGTCGGCCGTGTTGGCGATGCAGTTGGCCGCGGCTTCCATGTAGGCGGAGCGCACCTTGTCAAAGTCGGGGATGTTCTTGAGGTTGACGATGCCGTTGGTCTCGAGCGCGTCGACGAGCGCGTTGGCGTCGGCATCCGAGAGGTTGTCGAGGTCGAACGCCGGGATCGTGTACGCCGGGTAGTCGAAGATGCTCGCCGCCATGGCAGACGCCTGGAGCAGCGACGCGAGGAGTCCGTGGCGCAGCATGTGTGCCGAGCGCGTGGAAATGAAATCTGGTCTCGACGCCTTTTCGCTTCAATGGCCTTTTCGTGCGACTGGAGTGGGTGCGCTGCAGCTGCCCTTTCTTGCGGGCGGGCGATAGAGCCGGCGTCGACGCGGCGGTGTCACGTGTTCGACAATTGCACTGCAAAATCGATTGCAGCCATCTGGACGGAACAGCTGTTGGGTCTGTACCGTAGTTGAGCAGCCGACTTCGAGCGTTTGACGCCATTGCAACGGCAGCGCGAATGAGAGCTCGAAGACTGTTGGCAGCTCTCAAGTAGCTAAGCTAAACTAGCCTAGTACGCACTCGACCCGCGCATTGCTCTCCCATTCCAACAGTGCGAACATCTTCTTCGTTGCAACGAACGGCGGATGGTTGATGCTGAATGAGAGTAAGTGCAACGGACACTGCGATTTTGTCCCGCGAATCACGCTCCCGTCACTGTCTGCCTAGATCACGTCCCTCAACCGAGAGCTTCAACCGAGAGCTTCAACCGAGAGCTCCAACCGAGAGCTTCAACCAAAGAAAATACGGCCTTGTCGTTCTTCGTCATGTGGAAGAGACAGTGGGCGCTCGGCTGCAAGTGCTGGGGGAGCAGCTTGGTTACGAAAGCACCGCGAAGGGCGGCCGCCTCGGGGGAAAAGACTCGGTCGTCGTGGATACCTTAAACGGTGTGGAGCACGCAGGTGCATGCAAAACAGGTACTACCCTTCACGGAAGGCTGGCCACGAAACGGCGCATCGACGGTGTTAGTGCTGGGCCGTCACTGGCAATTTTGAAGTAGCCTGGATAACATTGTGTGGAGTTGTAGCTCCAGTGCGTCGACGAGCTGTCGGAGCGAACGGCTCGGGGCAAGAAGGGCCGACTGATCAAGACTGCACGCTGGATGTAAGGAGGTGGCCTTAGTTGCGTCTCTTTCAAGTACCGCGTCGTCTTGAATGTCACCACGAGTCCACCGAGCGACCACATAATATGCGTCCACGTCTTCGGCCGTGTGTACAGTGCAGGGCAACCCTTTCGCGATTACTGTATAAAACCCCCGAGTGAACACCTATCCCGCGACTCGACAAGATGGTATACAATACTGTTGTTCGTTTCTCGTCGCAAAATAGACAATGAATCACGTCCTAGTTTAGAACGCCATGGAGAGCGCCACGACACCCACAGCCACGCTGGTAAGCGAGGCGACCGAAGCGGGTGAAGCCGCTGGTGCAGTAGTCGTCGGCTTCTTTGTCGACGGCGCCAGCGTAAGGGCGGCATCAGTCGGCGAGGGCGTCGGGTCCGTGGGCGACGTTGTTGCGGCAGGATCACTTGTCGTCGTACCAGGCGCATCCGTCGTCGTAGGTGCCTTCGTGCCGCTACCACTGGTAGTAGGACTGGGCGTCGTGGACGCTGGGTTGGGACCAGGTCCAGGAGCTGGGCCGGGAGCTGGGCCGGGAGCAGGGCCAGGCGCGGGACCTGGAGTAGGACCCGGGTTAGGCGACGGCGAAGGAGAAGGAGACGGAGTCGGGTTCGGACCTGGCGTAGGACCCGGTGTCGGGGCCGGCGTCGGCGCAGGCGTCGGAGCCTTCGTCGCCGGCGTCTTACACGAAATCGCCTGGCCCTTGCACTCTTGCACCGCGCACACATCGACCGGCAACGGCGCCACGCACACCATCCAGCAGTCAATACCGGGCGCCGTGCCTTGGCTCACGCAGCAGCCATCGGACCGGCACTTATCGAGCGTGTGTTCGTTGTTGCAGTCAAACATACACTGCTCCTTGGTCTTGGAGCACGTCGGACCCGGCACCCAGATGCCGAGCGTGCATGCGTCGTCCATGGCCATGAGCTGGCGGCCCACCGGACACGCCAGCGACGCAATACCGTTGTCTTCGTTGAGCAGGTGACGCTTGATCGACTGGCCGTACTGCTTGAACGTCATGCCCGTGTTGGCCATCTTGACGTGGCCCTGCAGCAAGAGCATGCGACCCGTGAAGCCGCGCATCACCGACGACGCCGCGTTGCGCGGCATGATCATGCCGTGGTTGACAGGCGGCAGCTTCAAGTCAAAGTAGCCCCAGTCGCGGAAGCCCTGGCCGATCATGACCGTGAGCTCGTCACGCTTGAGCGTCGGGCGCACGCGACGACCGTTCTCGCCCGGCAGCTCGATGATGAGACCCGTGCGCTTGTCCGGGTTCTCGACCGGCACGACGAGACCGTCGGCCTGGCGGTCAAAGAAGAGCGGCTCGGACGTCTCGAGCGCAATACCCGTGTCTTAGTGGAACTCGAGCGAGAGCTCCGTCGAGACGTTGGTCGAGATACGAAAGTTGGGCTTCTCCGGGTTCGAGTAGCCGTGAAGTGGTCCAGATGCAGACCGTTCTTGACGACATCGACCACGTCGCTCTTGCTGTGGCCCGCCAAGATGTGCGCGAGCTTGAGCGTCTCGAGGTCGAGCAGCTCGCTGTACTTGGCGTAAAAGGCCGCGTACTCGGGACAGATGGCCGCCACGGACGCCGGCACGCCGTCCTGGACGCTCGTGCTGAGCGTCTCCTTGACCGTGTCGTCGACGAGCGTCTTCTGGAGCTTCTCGGGAAAGTCGGCCGTGTTGGCGATGCAGTTGGCCGCGGCTTCCATGTAGGCGGAGCGCACCTTGTCAAAGTCGGGGATGTTCTTGAGGTTGACGATGCCGTTGGTCTTGAGCGCGTCGACGAGCGCGTTGGCGTCGGCGTCCGAGAGGTTGTCGAGGTCGAACGCCGGGATCGTGTACGCCGGGTAGTCGAAGATGCTCGCCGCCATGGCCGACGCCAGGAGCAGCGATGCGAGGAGTCCGTGGCGCAGCATGTGATTGTGAGCTCGGCGCGGGAAGTCGGAGAGTGAACAGGTGTGTGTCAGTCTGGAACATGTGGCCACCTAGAGGTGGGTGGAATGTACGGGTCAGATAGGTTTTGATGTGGCTACAGTCATTTGGGCTACAGTATGGTATCACAACGTGCATCGGATTATTCAGGAGCGCCACGATTTTTATATGTGTTGCAATTAAGATCGAATTATTGACCATAAGACGATCTCTATAGAAGGGTGCTCTCTTGCTACCGCTGTATAGATTTTTTCGTAAAGTAATTGCATTTTATCAGATCACGACGCTCGTTGGGTGCAATTGTGTGCATCTGATTCATCGAAGTTCGAAGAAAAAGTGCAATTGGATTCCAGTCCATGGTGCGATTGTTGACACAAAATGCAACAATTGTGCTGCGTGGTTATGGGCGCCCGTTGCTCACAATGCGCTTGCATGGTCGTGGTTGATTTGACTGCCTCGCCCGTCTACGGGTACATGCAGCTGCGACGGATCTCGTCCTACGACGGGTAGCAAAGACGTGCGGCTCCACAGCGTCTATACCGCAGACGGTCTCTCGACGTGTGCACACAATACAACATTGTTGTTGTTGAAATGAGTGTTCTCGGTATTCCAATACAACATTGTAGCTCGCACAATACGCCGAGATTGATTCGAGATTTGCACCGAATGCATGCACTGTCCTATGGCACAGTGGACTAACTTGTGGTGCTTCAAATATCACGTTGTGCATGGACGTGAACCGTTATTTGGTCATGTGAATTCGATCCTACAGGAATGATGTGCCAAGGGCCATTTCCAGGGCGAAAGCTAAGAAGAAAGACGACGAGCACAGTCGCTTGAGCCATTCCTATTAATAATCCACGAAAGCTGGCCAGCATCGCCTTTCGCTAGGCCAGCGGACACCCATTGAAACATGCAATACACTTACATACCGGTACGCGACTTCATCGATGAGTTCAAGCTCAACATCTCTGAGCCACAGTGCGTTAAAGCTGTGCGTCCAGTGCCGATGGTCCAGCGACCGACGCGACCTCGTCCACGCGTTGATCATGCGTCGACGTCAATCACTGCATCGTGGGGAGAGGTGCGACGCCCTGCAAGTGGCATCGTCTTGGATGTATCGACTTTTTGCATCTTGGCGTCATGTCTTCATGTACGGGATCCAACTTTTGAGAACACACGGAAACACGTTCGATGTGCCTAATCTCGCAATCTTGGCTTTAATCCACTTTGTTCGCAAAGACATAGTCACCCTAATTGTAGTAGCTTTTGCGAAAGGTGCGATCCGTACTAAATCAGCTACATGTACATGTACCATCGTTCTGCACCGTGGCTTGTAAAAGCACTGCAACGAGACCTCTATGGATACTACCCCAAAGAAGCCGCCGTATGTGAGGCATTTAACATTCTCTCTCTGGACTTGAGGTCGGAAGTGCATACTAACAATACGGGGTTGGACACGCCTTGGACTACTAGTAGATCTGACTTTTCAAAGTCCTGGACGGTTCTTACTGTACATCTACAAGCTCGCTTCCAGGTCTCCGTGTGCAAGACGGTGTCAGTCAACAATTGCGGAAACATCTGCCACAACGCGTGACACCTGCTCTGCACAGTACATAATTCTAGGTGTCTTCAATCTCAGTGGCCACAACGGCGCTTACATAGCGACTCGAGCGACTCGCGTCTGCATGAAACCCGTAAGGCGAGTTCGTCGCATGAACACTCTTATGGACACGGTCCCGACAACCTCAGTGGGCTCTCATTCATATCACTCCAACAAGAGCCTCTAGGTCTCCTTGGTAGCATTTCCTGAAGTGATAGCGGAGGTCCAATCGATCAAGGTAAGTAAAATTACAGCTGTACCGGTACCGCGGTTAGTTATCTCACGACCCACGTGTACCGGTACCGGTATACAAACGCACCGCCATTCAATGGATGGTGTCGAGCTCGGTCCTTTCTATGCCTTGCGTCGAGTAAGCCTGTTGCAAAGTAGACACGCGAGCTACGACCTGCTTTGCTGCTTCACTTTTGCTTTTGCTCTCAACAGCCATGGTGGCCTCCAAGCTCGCAATCCTGTCGTTCCTCGCGTCGGCCATGGCGGCGAGCATCTTCGACTACCCGGCGTACACGATCCCGGCGTTCGACCTCGACAACCTCTCGGCCGCCGACGCCAACGCGCTCGTCGACGCGCTCGAGACCAACGGCATCGTCAACCTCAAGAACATCCCCGACTTTGACAAGGTGCGCTCCGCCTACATGGAAGCCGCGGCCAACTGCATCGCCAACACGGCCGACTTTCCCGAGAAGCTCCAGAAGACGCTCGTCGACGACACGGTCAAGGAGACGCTCAGCACGAGCGTCCAGGACGGCGTGCCGGCGTCCGTGGCGGCCATCTGTCCCGAGTATCTGTCCCGAGTACGCGGC